CTGGGATTCTTTTATTATATTTACTATTGAAACTTCTCTGGTAAAATGAAAGATAAGCTTTCTTTCTGCTGAATTCTTTGTATTAAAGTATTATAGTGAGATTTCATTGTGTTTTGCCTTCCATTTTTCAGATTTTTGCAAGTATAGAGAGTGAAACATTCTTATATTTTTAAATTTATGTTTCAGTTAATTTCTCTTAACTTGGGTATCCAAGTTCATCTTATTCAGCTTGATAAAATAATAATTTATAGCTTATTTCCTTTAAGTTTCAAATCTGGATCACATAATTCAGAGCAGAAAAGTATAAATAAAAGGGAACAAAGCTTACAAACACACAGAAAAAATTACAGAACAATAATTTGGTAAATGTTCTTCCACTCAAATTAACTATGAATTTCAATATGCAGTTTTGAGTTCTAATTGGATTGGATAAGCAGTCACTTCTTTGTGCCTGCCTGCAGAATGTATCTAAAAACCTATCTCTTTCTTGAATTGTTTTGATAAACAATTAAATAATTATACTGTATCTTATATCATGCTGAAATTATATGATTTCAGTAATAAATGGCAACTCTGATCATGTCTGTTTTTATCCCTCATTAGCCTTAGAACTTTTCTACTTATGTTGAAAGCTAATAATTTCCTTTGTCATTTAACATGTACTAATTTTCATCTGAAGATATCCAGGTTGTTACAAACTCATGATGAAAAACAATTTGGTTCATATATATATACATTTCTTTTGAATAATAAAGGCTGCCCTGAGAATTTAAAACAACAGAATTGGAATTTTCTGAGCATTTATTCAGGCTAAAACAAACTTCAAGATTTACATAAATTGGAGTAAAATTAGGATTGCCATCCAATATTTTCTCTGTCTCTCATATTGATTTGTTTGATTGTTTACCACAAATCTAGCCCACCAATTTCAGGAATGCAGAATATCCTAGAATGATGGTTTTTAGTCATTCCATGTCTTTTGAGGTTGCTAGTAGAGTTTAACCAGGTTGGTGTTCATGCAGGATCATCCCAAGGAAAAAGGGAATGTTCTTTCCTAATAAGTAAAAAAAAGAATTGAATTAAAGGAATTCCTGGGAGTTTGACAATTACAGAAACCATCTCAGTTCCCATTTAGAACTCTCTGGTTCACTCACTGTTTATAGTAAAGTCACTTAAAGTTTAAATATATGTTTATATTAAATGAATGTTTAATTATAGAAGGTTATTTAACATGATATATATTATAAAACATTCTTTCCTTTTCTTGAAGGAACTTCCAGGTATATCAAACTGTACTTATGATTAATTGTGTAGAGTTGAATTTGCATTTCTACAGTTCTTACATTGTTGAGTTAGCACAGCTAACTTTTTAAAACATAAAGTGTAGTCATGTATGGTGGGTAGGCTTTTAAGATGACCCCAAGGATTCTATCCCCTTCCTTTGAGTGGGTGGAACCTGTGAATACGATGGGATTATTCTTGTGATTATGTTATCTTATATGACAAAAGGGATTCTGCAGATACAATTAAGGTCTCTAATCAGACATTGAATTAATTAAACGGGAGCTTCTCCTGCTGTCCTAGAAGAAGCAAATTACCATGTCCTGGACTGCCCAAGGCATAGGCATTGACAAGTTTCTGAGGGTGGCCTGTACAAGTTGGGAGCAGTCCCTGACCTACAATCAGCAAGAAGTTGAAGACTTTTAGTCTCTACAGCCTCAAGGTACAGATTTCTGCCGACTCCAGTAAGTATGGAAGAGCCTGAACCTAAAATGAGATTGATGTCCTAGCTGCCACCTTGATTTTGGCCTGTTAGCAACTCTCAGAGGACCCAGCTAATCTGTGTTTGTATTCCTGATCCAAGGAAAGGATAAGCTAGTAAATTCATCTCACTGTAAGTTGCTAAACTGGTAATAGTTTGTTACACAACAAGAAGCTAATCATCTCCAAATGGATCATTTTTAAAAGGGCAAACTTGCTCATAAAAAACGTTCATGGAAGAACACTTATGAAAATTAGTATTTATTAGTATAAATAAGATAATTCTTAAGGAACGTTAAAATTTCTACGTTTGGGGACACTCAAGCAGGAGGTGTGCAAGTTTCTAGGCAGACTAGTAGAATGCCTGGGTGGTCAATTAATAGGCAAATTTTTCAGTGTTGAGGAGTACTTTTTTATGGGTTTAGAAATCCCCTTATCATTAAAAACTATGAATGAAGAAGTTATTACCTTAGCACACAACTTTTGGATACCTGATTCTGATGAAGTTGAGCAATCAATATAACTCATATTTAAGTGCCAAGCCATTATTCTCACTAGGTTCATGAATTAACTAGAATTATTTCAAAAGGAAGTGGTGGCTAAGTTTTAATGCTTATTTACATGACATAGTGCAGTGTATATTTGTGAGGTGGATGGACACAAACAACTGGAGATAAGTCAATATTCTGATCATGAAATCTTTCAAATTCAATTATCTGGTGTTGGTGAAACAAAATAATACATATGAGACACAAACACCAGCTTTGAAATCTATTAGCTGTGATAATTTCTAATTTTGTTTTCCTTTTGTATCCTTGAGTATGTATTTTATGAAATTGTGATATGCCTTTAAGTTATCATTGCTTGAGGTAATCAGCCTTGATCTTTCATTCATGGTGTCTACCACCTGTCTCCTAATATCTGAGTAACAAGCAAGGTGATTTTAAAAATGATGTGTCCTTGTCATATAATGTTATACTTTACTTTCTAGGGTCACAAAATGTAATTAAATGTGGGTAAGTTGGAAAATTCTCTGTGGCAGATTGTTTTATATTTCCTAGTTATTTTTTCCCTCTTTGATAATGAACTATGAATTCAACACCCGCCTCCATCACTTTGCCATGTGCATTGCAATATTTCTTGCATGGTTGTGTACCCTTTCTGATACTTGTTTAGTTTTCATCATATGACTTGTGGGAACCAATGGAATTTGAGCAAAAGAGATCTAATTTTACGTTTTGCCAGTAGCTTTAAGACCATTGTGGGTTTTTTTGGTGCTCTTGGTCTTTTTGATATACCACGAAAAGAACATGTCCCAAGTGTAAGCTGCTCTTTCAGCCTGATCTAAAAATGAAAGTCTTGGGCAGCAGAAGTGCAGCCTGGCAGCCAGAATTGATCTGCAACTGTACAAGAAACCATTGAAATATAATTTCTTTTGTTGTTTTATAAGCTTTTGGAGTTTGTTTCCACAAAAAAGCTGAACAACGTAGTCTGAAATTTAACTTTCTTTGAAATGAAAATGTGACCATTTTTATTTCCCTGATTAACACTTCAATAGTTTTATATTGCCTTACAGTGAAAGGCCAAAGTCAACTGTTTCATAAGATCCTGTATGTTTGGAGCCATATTACCCAACTCACACCCTCTGACCTTTTTAAAAAAAAAAAAAATTTGTAGAATTAACCTTATGTCAGGAATTTTTTTCCTATGTCCTGCCCCACCCATTGCCACTGATAGCAGGAATAATATATGGAAAGTTCCAATGGTTATGCATAATTATACTTAGGATTAGTGCCTTATTTTACACTTTCTTTCCAAAATAATAGATATTGCGTTGCTTTGTGTTTTATTTTATCCACAGTACCTATTATAGTGCTAGTACACCCTAGAAACTAATAAATATATGTTGAATGAAGCAAAACATAAAATCAATTTCTGATACACAGTCTTTATCCCAAGAAAGGTCATATACTGTCTTCAGAGTTTTAGTGTCATTATAGAGCTATGTTCTTTTAATTCGTTTCTGAAGACTCATAATGTTTGTATAAGAACTGTGTTTTTAAACATTACTGAAATATTTATTAAGTCAAAAGTGTAACAGGTATATTGCATATCATCTGTACTGTTATTTCTCATGGAGCAAGAACTCATTTTCACTTTTCTTAGTGCCTAAGACTAGTTGAATGGTTTTCTGTTGCCATAGTAACACGACTCAGTTTTTACAGTGGTTTCCCCCATATTTTAAACATTGTATTATTTCATTAAGGGAACTTAAGAATTTTGTGGCAAATAATATTGTCTGTTCCTGAAGGCTAAAATACACACAATTTTACATGCTTTCTGCACATATTTAAATTTGACTTTTAAATTACACTTATTTTAATGTAACTCCATTCTTTCGTGTTTTAAGGTTTGGTATTCCAATTTATAGAGCCAAAGTTTATTCTTTTTTAAATTTATTTTTTTCCAGTATGTGTTTCTAATAAAAATCATTGCTTTAATCCATCAAATTTAAACTTTAGCTATTAAGACCAGAAAAGAAATACAGCAGAGTAAAAGGGGAGTTCAGAATAGACCAGAAGGCAATTAAGTAAGGCATACTTGGAATACTGTTGTGCTAATCAAAGACTGGAGGGCATCTGACTGAGATGTTGACTGGAATATTGTTTGATAAAGGGCATACAAGGTGTAATGCATTGGTAAATGTGGACCAAGATGGAAGGCTAAGTATTCACCTTTAACAATCCTAAGCAGATATAGATAGTGTTCTTCATATTTTTAGGAAACATAGGAATAATGTGAACAACAAAAAATGTGGAGGTGGCATAATAATGTAGATAGATTTGTGGTAGATTTTTCTACAAGATAGCATTCAGGGTATGTGTATGTATTATTATCATCCAATGTTATATCTTAACAAGATGTTTAGGATAAACTCGTAATGCCTGCTCTACAGGTTGTACAGCTGATTTCCTGTGCATTTGGCACATCTGTTTTGCTTCTGATGGTTATATATATTTTTTCTTCTCTGGGTGTTGAATCAATATTTAGGGACTTTGTAGAATGTACAGAGGGTCACCAGCTGCCAAATATCTGACCGAGTCATAGGAGACCTCTTTTCTGAAATTTCATGCCTGAGATTATATAGCATTTTGCTCTAAGCTAAATGTAAAATAACATCTTTATTCTTTCCACCAATAATATAACTTTGAGCTGGTCTTTGTATTTTTATATTCTAGGGTAAATGAGTTTTTGAGACTTTCTTGGAAGAAATGGATCTGAAAAACAGAGTTTGGAGAAAGAAATGAAAGCAGAAAAAAATAAAATGGTAGGTGAAAGATAAGTAAATTATTTTATTTCCTTGAAATACTGAATGAATTTTAAGATTTTGGAAAGGGACAAAGAAGAAAGCAAGGAAGAACAAAGAGACAAGGAGAAAGTTACTAGGTTCTATGCTAAGCTTCCAAGTGTACAAATTTATCACTTGGCTCTACAAATTTTGATTTTACAGGAAAAAGTGTAGTGTTTTTCTGATAAAACTCATACATTATGATAGATAGTATCACAATCTTTCTGTCCTTTGTAAGGCATTTTTGTTAGGGAATCTTTTGTTCTCTGCAATTAGTGCTTTGTGTATCTTAATTAACTTAATGCCCATCAATTAGCAGGTATTGTTCCCAACCTAAAAAGCAAATTTCAGTAAATCGTGCATATAAATGCTAGGTTATGAAGTAGTTCTTTCCAACCTCATTGTATTGACCTGAATACTGTTGATGGTGATGATAATAGAGTATGATAATTTATTTTGTGCACACTATGTAACAGGTACAGTGCCTTTTCAAAAACAGATCAATGAGAGAAATATTAAGCCTCAATGGTGCAGCTGTAAAGACTGAAGCAAAAACATTATTTAACCTTTCATAAAGATTATAAACATTATAATAAATATTTTGGAAAGTTTGAACCCAGTTTCCCTATACTTTTTCTATTATTCCATGTTGCCTCATTTGAAAAGCAAGATTAACAGATGTAAATGAAGAAAAAGTGATAAATAGAATGAGAGTTAATTTATAGTGTATTGTTTTAGAACACTTAAAGTGAGTTATTTTAAGTGTAATATGCCAAACCAATACAGGTAATGGTTTATGTGGTAAGGCATTTGGAGCTGAGTGGTCACAGGTCATTACGAAATTGGGGTTCAAATGATGTTCTTTTGAATGAGATCTTATATTCGAGATTAAGAACAAAATATGTACCATAAGCAATATTAAATAATTTGGTCACATTTCTGAAAATGAGATGTTATTTTATAGTGCATGGATGCTGTGGTTTGTGCTGTGTATCTTTGGAAGTTTTGCTGAGCACAGAGGCCAAAACTTGCTAATCTGATGGCTTTAATGATCTAGTTGGAGAACAGGAAGTGTTGATTAAATGATATTTTATTAGTGAGCAGTTTTGTCTAGCTGTGGAAATTTCAGGAGCTTTGGAAACAATATGTGTGCAAATACTATTTACAAGATGTGTAACTTCAGAAAATTTACTACATCTCTCAGGCTTCAGGCTCTTTGAATGATAATGTATGGCAGTAATAGCTCATACTTAAAATGTCAGGCGTATAGGAAAATTTCAATCTTATTAGTTCTATTCTTTCCACCTCCTTCCACTACTTGTTTAATTAATGCTGCTTCCAGACTCTGAAAGGATCTCTATTTTTTCTCCTCTCTCCAATTACAGATTAATCTCTCCCGACATTTTAGTAATATATTTATATATGTGATTATCATGGAAAATATGAAGACATTTATGTCAGTAGATAGTTTGGTTTCTATCTTACGTACTCTTCCTGATAACTTCAATAGAATTAACTTGTTTCACCCTGTTAGATGGAAGAGGGAAGGAGAAATGCTTATCCCATATTTAGAGTTGACAGAGCAGAAAGCAAAAAGTAAAATGAGGAGCGGGTAGGGAGGGGGAAGGAGGGAGGGAGTGAGCACACACTATTGAGATTGATTGAGAGAGAGAAAGAGATCTACATGCTGACCAGGAGCAATTCCCATTATTGAACAAAAAGCAAGAAGTGTGACTGGGAAGCTTCTGGGACTTAATTCCAGTAGAAAAAGAAAATTGCAGAAAAAGCACAGAAAACTCCTAAAATATCAATACCTAATATGGATAAGAACTCCTCATTTAGATAAACTGAGTAATTAATTACAGAAACAAAAATCAAGACCATCATCTGTGAAGCAGCTTATTTCAAACAATTAATTATTCTCTGTCATATTGTTGAACACAGACCAGTTGTGTAGAGAGACTGCTCTGGAACACTTTTGAACGGAAGAGCTTGTGCTGAACACTGACATTACATCTCTGAGAGAAATCATTGAAGATATTTAGCTGAAGGATTAACAAAACTGCCCTAGTTTTTAATGTATATTTTCATGTTTATTAAAATATTATATTAATATCTAATGACTATTTTCAATATATTGGGTATCTATCTATCTATCTATTAATCATCTATCTTTTTTAAGAGCTGGGGTCTCCCTCTGTCACCCAGGCTGGAGTGCAGTGGTATGACCTTGGCTCACTGTAGACTCAAACTCCTCGGCTCAAGTGATCCTCACCCCAGCCTTCAGAGTAGCTGGGACTACCAGCACATGCCACAACCACACCTAGCCATATATATATACATATATATATTTTTTTTTTTTTTTTTGACGCAGTTTCGCTCTTGTTACCCAGGCTGGAGTGCAATGGCGCAATCTCGGCTCACCGCAACCTTCGCCTCCTGAGTTCAAGCAATTCTCCTGCCTCAGCCTCCCAAGTAGCTGGGACTACAGGCACGCGCCACCATGCCCAGCTAATTTTTGTATTTTTAGTAGAGACAGGGTTTCACCATGTTGACCAGGATGGTCTCGATCTCTTGACCTCGTGATCCACCCACCTTGGCCCATATTTTTTTGTAGAGACAGTGTCTCACTATGTTGCCCAAGCTGGTCTCAAACTCCTGGGCTAAAATGATCCTTCTACCTCAGCCTCCCAGAGTGTTGGTATAACAGTTATAAGCCATTGTGCCCAGCCTATATTTAAATTTGCTTAATAATAATAATAAACTATTTGCTTGAATGTTATTACCTTCTGAGTTTAAAACAACTTCTATAATCAAAAACCTCTAAGTGTGGGTCATGGCAGTTTAGACCTGTAATCTCAGCAGTTTGGGAAGCCCAGGTGGAAAGATCACTTGAGTTAGAGAGTTTAAAATCTGCCTGGGCAACTTAGTGAGATCCCCTTTCTACAAAAAGAAAAAACTTAGCTGGGGATGGCAGAAGGCTGAGGCAGAGGGATCACTTGGGCCCAGGAAGTTGGAGCTCTGCAATAAGCCTTGATCATGCCACCATACTTCAGAGTAAGACCTTGTCTCAAAAACAAAACAAAACAAAACAAAAACTAAAAAGCTGCAACCAGCTACCCTATGCTATCAAAAATATCAGCAGATAATCTATAATCAGGGGCCTTTGAATCCTTTGAATTCCAGATTTAAAAAATTGTTAGAGATAAAAGCCACTTATTAATAGCTAATATTAAGATAATTTGATATGCAGAAAATCTAAATGAGACAGGGAAAACAAGTAAGTTTTTCTGAGCACTCACTTTGTGTTAAGCATTGTGGTACTGTATTATAGGTTATTCTATTAAATTGATTAAGTGCCTTCATTGCTTTGAAACCAGTCCCTTAAAACTCTGCAACATCAGGAGAAAGTCATATCAAAATTATCACAAGAAGTTGGTTATTTTTCTTTTTCAATTTTTATTTTAGATTTAGGGGGTACATGTACAGGTTTGTTACCTGGGTATACTCCCTGATGCTGAGGTTTGGGATATGAACGATTCTGTCACCCAGGTACGGAGTATAGTACCCAAAGGACTGCTATATTCTTAGTATTTTCTATTACTTTAAAATTCTTTACTCAAATGCATATCTCTAGCCTCAGATTTCAGGAATACTTTTGTTTGGCTACATAAAGACAAGACTATGCCAGGAATAGATTAGATGCTATTACCCACTTTGGAACTTCGTTATACTAGGTATATTTTCTTGATGCTCATGTGTAACTTCCATTAGTGTTAATGAGAGTTGCATTCATGCATGGAGTAGAGAATAGATCCATTATCTCTAAAGGGCAGTTTCCTTTTTCATATGTTGCTCAACTTATGTTACATGTTTCCCTTTTGTCTGTATTACAGACTCACTCCTTTGTTTATAGAAAGGGATATATAACTGTGAAATTGAACACCTTTGCTGGAAATTTCTTCAGAACAGTTTTTAGGCCATGATTGGGTGGAACTATCAAAACTATTTTTGAAGTCTCTCTTCTTGTAAAACTGTTAACATTCTGGATGCATTTGGATTCAATAAAATAATTTTGATATACATTAGACAATCACTGCAGTACTTACTGAATCAATTGTTCACATTTGCCACCATTTTCAAACCTACAGGAAGTAATTTCCCAAGCAACTTAGTCTGAAGTTTGAGTAGAAGGGAAAATAAGTTATTCATGAAAACTTAGGTCTTTCTATAATGTTGGGTCAAGACGTATGGACACAACTAAAATATTTTGGAGTTACTTGGTCTAATTTTATTTTATTTTGTTTTGTTGAGACAGAGTCTGGCTCTGTCACCCAGGATGGAGTGCATAGGTGTGATCTTGGCTCACTGTTACCTCCACCTCACAGGCTCAAGCCATCCTCCCACTTCAGCCTTCCAAGTAGCTGCGACTACAGATGTGTGCCACCAGGCCTGGCTAGTTTTTGAATTTTTTGTAAAGATGGGGTTTTGCCATAGTGCCCCGGCCGGTCTTGAACTCCAGAGTTCATGCAATCTGCCCGCCTCGGCCCCCCAAAGTGCTGGGGTTACAGGCTTGAGCCACTGCACCCAGCCGAAAATATTTTGAGTTTTTAAAATGTAGTTTAAGTCTTAAAAGAAAATAGAGAAAAGAAAGGAATTGTAATATTTTTGACTATCGTTATAAGGATAGGTTTGAATAACAGTAAAAAATAATCATGAAGATTGTATAATTATTTCCTATATTCCCCACTTCCATACGAATTTCCTCTTACGTATTCCTTCATCACTGCTATGGATGATGAAATGAACCTGCCATCAACAAGATAATTATTTATTATAAACCATAAAATGTTAATACTTTACTGTCTCATGTGGTGAACAATACTATACGGAACCAATAAAATACTACTTACACACATAACATTCCTTCCATATTATTTTGTTGTAAAATGTTAATAAAACAACTTTTGATGTTTGTCATTGCTTTATAATAATTAATGTATAAATGATATCTCCATTTAAATGATTAGAGTGTGGAAAATAATGAATCCCTACTGATACACCTCCCAAACCTGTTCCCTTTTTAGTTGTCCACTGATGAAAACATGGCAGATGTATTCTCATGGCTTCAACCCGCTCCTTGAAGACATCTGATTCTTTTACTCACAACCTTCTGCTACTATATCAAAGGGCCCTAAATCTTATATGATTGTGGGCTCTAAATCCAATATGACTGTCGTCCTTTTAAGAAGAGGAAAACTTGAAAAAAAAAAGGGAAGAGGAAAACTTGGATGTAGTCTCAGACACATTGGGTAGAAGGCCATGGGAAGACAGAGGCAGAGATGGGCATGATGTATTTATAAATTGAGGAATGTCCAGTATTGCTGACAACCATAGAAGAGGCAAGGAAGAATTTTTCCTGGAGACCTCAGTGGAGCCATGTCTCTGTCTATACCTTATTTTTTCTGATTCCTCACTTATAAAACTATGAAAGAACACGTTAATGTTGTTTTAGCCACTCAGTTTGTGGCATTTTTTACCATAGCCCTAGAAATCTAACATACCTGTTGAGATGGCGTATGACAAATTTCTCTACTGTAAAGCTACTATAATGCCCTTATTTTCACACAATACACTCAATCCAGTCCACATTCAAGGGGAAGGGAATTAAGCTTTATCATCTAGAGGAAGGGTATCAAATAAATTGTGGACACATGGTAAAACCACCACAATAACTAATAAACGCTTTTGGGAAATATGTCAAATCTTTGCAAATACCCTATTTTTTTAAAGGGTTTGCTCAGTAATTTTAGTATTCATCATTGGATTTTGCCTGCAACAGTTATTAGTGTAGTGTTCTAATGGTGATTTTCTATTTCCCTTATACCTTCTTTATTTACTAATTGGAATTCTTCTCTAAAGAGATTGTTCCTTTTCCTTATTTATTCAATTATTTATATCAGAATGGATATATGAATATATATTGTCTCTTTGGATTTATAATTCAATATGATCGTCATTTATTGTAATTACAGAAGTGGTTCCAACTTTGATCATTGGGAACTTTTAATGTTTCACTTCTGTGCCTCTGTTACAGGACTGTCACCTCTTCTCCCTCTCTTCAGCACATTCTAATTTTCTTTTACTACAAGATTCTCTGGGCTTATCATGCATTTCCTCAGCTCCAGTTGCAGAATCATAACTGATGTACTGTATATATCTCTATATTATGAAACCTATCTATCCTTAGGCATTGTAGAATAAACATAAGTTATCACTAATACCTCTGAAGCATTTTCAGCACCACAAGGCTCATTCTAGCCTTTCTTCCTCCCTTATGTGTAACACTTTTCTCTGGCAGAGAGAAACTGGGTCCCATTATGTACAATTTATTTAGTTATATGTTCAACTCTAGATACATGTGAAGTAGTTTTAGAATTGTGAATGCGTATTAGCAATTCAAAGATTGTGAGGAACCCATTTATGAACAAGAGAATAGTGTGTACTGTTCTTTTTGTCTTTAGCCTTACACTATCCAGTCAAATGCTGTTCTAAAGTTATTTAGGTCAGCTCCTTTCCTCCTCCATGCCCTTCAGTAAAGCTGTCATATGCATGTAATTTAATAAGATTTGTCACAGTCTACATTCCATCTTGTGATCCCCTGACATCGTTGTTGATTCTTTTAAATTTACAAACAGTACAGTTCAATATGTGTTGCTTATAATTCTTTGTTATGACAAATGCATAGAGTCTTTTATCTACCACACCAGTACTATGTAGGAAAGTTCTCACACCCCAAAAAGTCCCTCCTGCAGGTCCCTTTGGTGGCAACTCTTTCTTTTACTCCCAACCTCTGGTATCACTGATCAGTATAATCGCACAATGTGTATCCTTCTGTTTTAAATTATGTTGCTTAATGCAACATATTAAAAATTATCAATGTTATGTTAATGCTGAGTACTATTTCGTTGTATGGCTGTAGCAACATTTACTCATTGAAGTATATCTGTGTAAATACCGGAAGTGGGATTGTTGGATCATATGGTAAGTGTATATTTGATTTAACAAAAAATTACCTGTCTTCCAAAATGACTATACCAATTTTGCATTTCCACCATCAATGAATGAACATCTCTGTTTTTTAGATCCTTACCAGCACTTGATATTGTCAGGTTTTCTTTCCCTCACTCCATTCCTCCTATCCTCCCTTTCTTCTTCTCTTCCTTCCTTCCATTCCAAGAGATTTCTAGAGTATCACATGTAGCTTTACTTTTCCATTTTTCTAACAGCTAATGTGCCAAGTGTCATTTCATTTGCTTATTTGCTATCCATATATCTTTTTTGGAGAAGTGTCTGTTCAGATCTTTTGCCTATTTTATTTTATTTTTTTAGAGATGACATCTCACTATGGTGCCCAGGCTGCAGTGTCATGATTATTCACAGGTGATATTACAGTGCACTCTAGTTCTGAATTCATGGACTCAGGCATCTACCTGCCTCAGACTCCTAAATAGCTGTGACTGTGTAGGCCCTTGCAACTGTGCCTGGCTTTTGCCTATTATTATTATTTTTTTAACATGGCTGTTCATTTGCTAATTGTTGAGCTTCAACACTTTTGTGTATATTGTGGTTACAAGTCCTTTATCAGGTGTGATTTTGTTGTTTTTTCTAAAAACATTATCAAACTAAAGGTTTATGTAGATTTTCATTCATGTTTACTTCTAAACTTTGTAGTTTTATATTTTACACTTAGGTCATTTATCATTTTGGAATTAATTTTTACAAAAGATGTGAGTTATGTGTCAAGATTCATTATTTTCCATATGGGTATCCAATTGTTCTAGCACCATTTATTGAAAAGACTATTCTTTCTCTACTGGATATATCTGTTCCACCTTTGTAAAACACCAAACTAAATTGCTTGGGTGTATTTCTGGGCTCTCTGTTCTATTCCATCAGTCTATGTCTCTGCCTAACTTTATGTTAACATGTGCTGCCTTTTTAACTGCAGCTTTATAGTAAGTCTTAAAGCAGGTAGTGTGAGTCCTGCAACTTTGTTCTTCATTTTAATAACTACTTTGGCTGTTCTTATTTTTATAGGCTTTTAATATAATTTTTAGAAACGCATTGTGGATATACTAGCCGTGATTTTAGATTGAGATTATTTTGAATCCATGAATTAAATTGGGAGAATTTGTATTTCAAAAATATTCAGTCTTCTGTTCTATGGAAGTGGTATATCTCTCTTCATTCATTTCTTTCATCAGAGTTTTGCAGTTTGCAGCATACAGATTTTACAAATATTTTGTTAGAATGTTTTTGGTAAGGTTGTATGAGATATGAATATATATTTTTATATATGCAGACACTATATATATATAACATTTAGATAGATGTACATATATATATATAGCATATATAGTGTGTCTATATATAAATATAAATAATATATAGTATGGGATATGTATCTCACACATTGTATGTGATACATGTATATCCTATAAAATATACTCTTTTTGCTTTACAATTACATTTGAGAACATTTAATATAAAAATTTAATTTAATTGACTTTATTTATTCCATTATTGACATTTTAGCTTCTTTGTGTAGATCTGGGGTTCTGGCATATTTTTTTCTTCAACATACTTCCTTAAACATTGAATAGATATCATGGCATTAAATCCTTCCAGATTTTCTAAGTCTGGAAAAGCTTTAGCTTTTTATATTGTTGAAGGTAGTTTTACTGAATATTAAATTTTGAGTGGAAAGTTGTTTTACTTTAAGCACTTTAAATATGTCATTGCATTGTTTTTTTGATTCCACGCTTCTTTTCTTCCCCCCATTTTTAAACAACAGGATCTTGCTCTGTCAACTAGGCTGGAGAGCAGTGAGTGGGATTGTAGCTTACTACAGTCTCCAACTTCTGGACTAAAGTGATCCTCTCACCTCAGCCTCCTAAGTAGCTGGAACTACAGGCTCTCAGCTGGCTAACTTTTTCAAGACTTTTTTTTTTTAGACATGTCATTTCATTGTGTTGCCCAGACTGTTCTTGAACTCCCGGCCTCAAGTGATCTTCCTGCCTCAGCTTCTCAAAGTGTTGGGATTACAGGCATGAGCCACTGCACCCAGCCAATTTGTTGGGTTTCTGGAAATAATTCTGCTATATTTGTTATTCTAGACCCTCTACAGGTAATGTATATCTTATTCTTTGGCTTTCCTCAAGATCTTTGTTTTTGGTTTTAGTGGTTTCAGTATTACTTATCTCAGGTTTTTTTGTTATTGTTTGTTTGATTCAGTTTGGTTGTTGTTATTCTGTTTTGTTATTTAACCAACCTGGTGTTGTCTAAATTCCTGGATCTCTAGTTTGGTATCTGCCATTAATTTTGAAAAAAAAAAAAAAATAGCCACTGTTTCTTTAAATTTTTTTTCTGCCCACTCTTTCTCTTCTCTCTTTCCATGTTACCAATTAAACAGATATATTATCGTATTTAATATTATCACATCATTCATGGATGCTCTCTTGTTTCTTTGTTTTTTTTTTCTTCTCTCTTTACCATCCCCACATTTATTTCTTTTCCATTTCAGTTGAGGTGATTTCTTCTGATCTAACTTCAAGTTCCCATTTTCCTTGAAAGTTTCAAGTCTAAGCTTTATTGAAGACATTCTTTATTTTTCTATTGTCCATTTAAATTTTTTCTTATAGACTTTACCTCCACCTATCTGATTATGCATGACATTTACTTTTTCATTAGATCCTCTAACATATTCATTATAATTATTTTAAAATCAAATTCTAATGGTTTTAATATTTGTATCATATGTTACTCTGATTCTAATGAAATTTTGTCTTATCAGATTGAATGAAAATCATATTTTCTTACCCTTTTGTATGATTTAAAATTTTGGTTGAAATTCTAAGTGTTATAATTGACAGTAGATAATGTAAATACTTTTGCTGGCTACCAAAATATATGCCTTTTTTCTGCTAGGAGTTTAGTGTGGGGGTTTGTGTTAATGTCATCGAATTTAATGTTTGTTTTTGCTGGGTTAATTCAGTGCACAACCAACTTCAGATTCTTTTAATGATGACCTATGTTTTTGGTGTAGCCTAGTAACGAAGAAGGTAGTTCTCAATGTGTGTTTCCTATTTGGCTGTGGGATTTCCCTTTGCATTGCATCCCAGATAGCATCTTTGTTTTGGAGCTCTCCCAGTTGTATTTCAATTAATTATTGCCTGACATGTTGGTATGGTGGTGAGTGGTGGGGATAGAGACCTTTTCTGCATTTTTGGTTCAAAGCTGCAACTTGCCCTCCCACACAGGTAGCACATATTCTACCCTATCCTCAACGATAAAGCTTATGTTCCAGCATTTTTTTTTCTCCATCTGCAATGTAGTTTCATGAGTGCCCCAAGGTGACAATTATTTTTTTGCTCTTTAATATGAAGATGCAGGCTTTTATTTTATAGGATTGATAGAAGAGATTCTTCTAAAAGGAGTTTCAGCAGTAGCTGCTGTTACACTCAGCCAGAAGCACAAGGAAATCTTTCTCAGGATAATTCCTGATTTTCTTGGTGAGGGCCTGGTGGGCTTAATGAAAAATAAGTCATCCTGCCACACTCCAACTCCCCTGTGTCTAAGATCCTTAGGGTTTCTTAATTTCATGCTAGCCATATTTGGCCTTTAGCAATTTGTTAAAACATTTTTAAAAATAAATTTTTATAGCAGTTTATTTGTTGCCTGGTGTTATATTCTCCTGTAAACAATTGAACAGCTCTTGGCTCTCCCCACATTTTGGATTTGTTGTTTGCCTTATAATCTTAAGTCTATGATAAGCCCAAGAAAAATTTACTATTTCCTTTTTC